ATTGTCCGGAGGATTTCTTCGATAGGAGTGGGAAGCTCATAATCCCTCTCCATTAAGGAATTCAGCTTACGTGCATCCAAACAGATGCGAACAGACTGGTCCCTTTTTACAGTGGTCATCAAGGGTGAAATAAATGGAGTGACCGCTCGTTCTATCACCCCTTGTTTTTCCATTTGTGCGATGGCTTGGTAGACGGCTCCCCTATGGGCAATGGGGATGGGGTAAGGTTTCACAAAAAATCCCCCAGTATTATTGATCAGTTTTATGTCATGCTCATATTCATTTGTCAAACCGGGAGTTTCTGAGAATATGTTTTTATTTTTTTCAAGGAGGGATTCAAAAGCCATCTTCTCTGTTCCAGCTAGAGAACAGTTATTGATAATTTCCTGAAAAGGGGAAGAATTTAACTGATCGTTTTCGCCAATGGTCCGTAAAAAACAGATTTTTTTTTCAGATAACAAGTTGATTTGGGGAGCCTCCGGTGCTTGGAAATCATGTGGCATATTAAGGGTTGGTATATTGATAGTTTTATTACTCCAAACTACTTGAATAGTGTTAGTAGACAAGTCAATTTTTGCCTTCATGGATTTTAGAAAATCAACCCCTATTATCACCGGGTAAATCAGATCAGGTATTATCAGAAATTCAAAACAAAAATCATAAATATTGTTCAATCTCATTGTTAGTAGTGACTGTACCTCAATTCGTCTCTGCTTAGAACGAAAAGCCCCTGTTACTCGGACGCCAGTACAGGGGAAAAAAGGGGTGTCTGGACAGACATTTAAAATTTGGGACCAAACCTCTCCAGAAATACAGGAAATCTGGCTCCCACTGTCTATTAGAGCCGGAAATTTGAACCCATGAAAATTTGCCTCAATTATTGGAGATTGTTGGTCCGATTTTGAATGTTCATATTCACATTCGTCCTGAAAGAAATCATTAGGTAAGGCCCTACTGAGTACACCTTCCACAATAGGGCTGGAATGTGGAAAGTGATTTAGTTTTCCGAAACCAACGTTTCAGACTCAAGTTCCAAGTTTGCAACATTTTTACTAACATATTTTCCGGGACTTGGTTTTTGATAAAATTTTTCTTTTTTAGCAAACTGGTCTTCAGATGACGTAAACCTAACCCTACTTGTTGAGGGGGGAGGATAGTAGAAATCAGCGTGACGAAGCCTCTCCAACGCCTCCTCAGCTGACTGTACCCCAATCAAACTACTTCTAACATTTGGGGGAAAATGTTTGCCAATTTTGGCAACTAAAATTGCTTCGGGAAATGGCTGATGTTCTAGGTATCTAGCCATTGCCATAAATTTATTGAAGTGGTCTACAAATGAATCACCCTCTGTGTATGGACCCTTTTCGATTTTCATTTTAACTTCAAATTGCTTGTCTTCATGCCAGAATTGCTTCAAGAATTTTTGTTTGAAATTGTCATAATTTGAAAAACTTTCAAGCCACGCATCAGCCCACAACTTAGCTTTATTTTTGAATAAGTTTCCTATTATTGCCACTAATTGTTTGTATGTCATGCTACTGGTATCAAGTATTGTTTCGATTTTATTCAAAAATTCGATTGGATGTATAGAATCATCATTATAAAAAACTGGCAGCTCAGGCATTTTCATATTACAATAGTTTTGAGAATTATCAGACCTAATCACATAATTTTGATTATTCAATCTAGAACTACTATTATCAGAATTTATGTTCACATTTTGCATGGATAAAATCACTTGTGTGACAATTCGGGCAATATCTTCCTGGCTGATTGCTGGCTGCATTGGAGTTGATGGGTTATGTAAGTTGGGGTTGTACACAGGGGGTGGTTGGGCATAAATTGGTTGCCCAAAAGGCGGTTGCCTGAACGACTGCTGCCTATTTGGAAGCCGACCAAAAAAAGGCTGGCCTGCAGGAGTCTGGCCCGAGAAGGGTGGCTGCTCAGCAAAAGGTTGAGCAGAAGGGGGCCGGCTAGCCGATGGTTGACCAGTCGCAGAATTTGAGGGGAAAAATAGATTTGGGTTGATCCTACCTTGATCATTTGCCGGTGTACCATTCCTATTAATATTTTCCCTAGGTGTTGGGATTCTGTTTACATTATCTCCTGGTTCTTCCAGAATGAAATCGTTTGCCAAATGTCTAGGTAGGTTCAGCGTCTCTCTTCTTCGCAAATTATACCCTTCGTTTGGGGTATTTGTTTTAGGTCCAGGTGTTTGGGACTTCCCATTTCCATTTTCCATTTTAGTGGCAAAACACACAATTTTTCTCCACAATACTCGCAGCACGGATGGGCGCCAGATGAAACGGGAAAAGCACTTGACCAGCTTGCTTTTCTTTTATAGGGGTTCTTTACGAGTTGGAATTGTGGATGAAAAACTCAAAGTTTGCCCATGGAACACGTGATTCATTTATTCGTTGTATAATACGTGATCTAAAAAGGTTTACAGAATTAAGTAAATATTTCACAAACAAAGTGTTTTTCTACTCTTACCTAAAGCACCAGGCCAAATCGATACAATATCAGTATGAACAGCTAAATTATTGCACAATTGTCGAGCCAAAGGCTGCCAGAGACCAGTTCATACGCCGAAAGTTAGAATTAAAAGAATTTTATTCTGGTAGCAATATCAAAAAAAACAGCGCAAAAACGGCCAGAGGCCCACTCAAGTGGAAATAATTGAAAAACGGTACCAGTAGCGACACCTTGCGGAGTTATGCGCTAGTATATATTTTGGGAATTGACCCATTAGCCAGATTACTGTAAAAATACAGCGAGGTCGAGGCAAGTGCGTTAATAATTCTTTGCATAGCTAAGTGGTGGCGTGAGCGGGTAAGTATCAGTACAGAAAATGAAAGTGAAAACAATAAAATAATTACAAATTATTACCAAATGATTTCGAGAGATGATATCGAACTGCATAGGTTTCCAAGGGCAAGAAAAAATCAACCAAATGTTAATATTCGATAGGATACATAAATATGATGAGGGAGTTCCACGGAGGTCTTGTTTCAAAGTATATTTTATATTCATACACACTGATGAACATCTTGTATCAATATCTTGTTTTACATAACAACATAACAACTACTATATTAATTACTATAACAACGACAATACTACGACAACACCTCTTGTTTTTGTCTCTGTAGATAATACAGGAATCGACTGCGACTTATACAGTAGTCATATTGTACTAGGTGTACAGAAATGATATACCTTGAATATTGTTATTTTCAACAATATCATTAGAAAAATCGAAATAATAATTGTGAAAAATGCTCAGTACACTATATATTATGAATTAAATATTTGTATCATTTCTTAATGAGACAATTTTTCCCTTGTGATAATTCAATATTGTTAAATATTAATTGACCTATGTGCATTTGTTTTTTTCATCCTTACTACAAGGTTAACTTCGTAAGGTTTTTCCCAGTTTATTCAAAATACCTATCTGTATATTCCAATGTATATTTGGTAAACGTATTTGAATGAACTTATATTATTATTATTATTATTATTATTATTATTAGGTGCTTATTCTATATTATGAACCTGTTATTACTATTTATTTGTTGCTATTAGGTACCTGCTTTTTGTGTTTTCTTAGTTAACTAGTGTTGGGATTGTTTTTGTCCTTCTCATGGAAGATTCAAATGAAATATTCCTTCAATTGGAATTTTGTTTGAAATGAAAAATCCATGGCCCACTATGAAAATTCAATATTTTAGTGATTTTGGACTATTTTTGGAAATCTACCCCGAAAAAAAAATTTAGTGCGCCACTGGATTCTGCGCAAAATGTTCTATGGGATAAGATTTCAATTCGACATAGGCACTAATTATACAATAAACCAAAAAAGGACAGTACTCTATCTGATTCAGATCAAATTCAATTTTTTATATACATTTGTTAAGAAAGTTTGTTTCTTAAGTTTTATTTCGTTTTGTTTTGTATTCTTGTTGTTCTTTTTACTATTTGTTATTCCTGTTTTTTATATAGGTACTCAAATTTAATAAGTACCCATATGTTACTGTGTTTTGTGAGTATTTTTGAACTGAGAATTAGGAAAAGGTATTATGATTATTTTGTATGAGAATGTTTGTTTTGTTTGTTTCTATTTTGTTGGAGGTATGTTACATTTCTGTTTACTAAAAGTACATAATGTTTTGAGGTCATAGGTTTATTTCATTATCCTGTCTTGGAATTCGCATATCATAAAAGAAGATCTTAAATAGAAGTAATGAAATATGCCGAATTTCTGATGAGTATATTTACTGATGGAATAAAAATCGCACTGGCAACCGTGGTCCGCGCGGAGAGTGAGTTGACAACAACTGTCATTTGTTGATGTCAAATTGATTATCCATGAAATCCGATAGATTTCACGTGTGTATAGGACCGTCATGTGAATATGTGTTTGATGTTGACGAAAAAATTTGATGTAATTCGCAGACTCGACTATAATAGACATTGTTTCGTCCTTTGGTTCATAAATAACTATTTTCAGAGGAAATCGATAGATTTATTTTCACTTGTGGTGTTTTCGTTATCAGATATATTATTTTAGTGACTTTAGAGACAGCGACGATAATGTGGGAAAATCAACAAAACGAAACATACACAAGATGTAAAATGGAATCATCAGTCTATGGTTGGATGTTTGCGATGCTGCCTGATCCCATTAATTTTTTTCTGATCGAAGTACGATCCATTGAGACTTCATCTCGGGATATTTCCAGCATGTCTCCTCAATTTATTTTCTCTTTAGAACTTCGTTAACATTGAATCAAGTAGAAAAAAAACAACTGTGTGTTGATAACTGTTTAATAGAATCATTTTTAACGAAGGACCTTCAATACTTTATACTCAGTATAAATGAAATAGGTTGGAACTCAGTAGCTTCAAGCAATTATAAAACCTATTTGAATTTTTATGCTAGATCAATTTGAGGCTGCTAACAATTATTCCTAATTTCCCTGAATCTTCCTCATATGTTAAATGATTTCTTTGTTCTTCCTATTATTTGGGACATTTTTCAAATATTCTTCCAACTCTTTGATATTGTAGAACACCACGAAACCTTTAGGTGAAAGTCCTTCGAAGACCGAATATACCGACGGTTTGAGGTTGACAAAGAACAAGGGTTGATTTCTGGAAGTGAAATCATTTGTTAACATATCTATCACTCTAGCTGCCGAGTAATCAGCTCCATAAATGTGCGTACAATCAATCACAACCGGTATTCCTTGTCGTTTGCTGTATTTTAGGACAAGATTCCTGACATAGTCGACTGAGGGAAAGATCAAACAGCGATCGGGTGTCAGCATAAGGTATTCTACACCATCTGGAGTCTGAAAATCAATTATAAATAAGTACATCTAACCAATACAAGGATCAACAGCATGGGGATCTCGGTAACCATAAGAGTTATACAGTGGTCAATGGACAAACAGTTGCACATACAAGTAAGGATTTGGAAAATGTTGTTTATTTCTGGAGATATTCGAAAAAAACGAAAGTTGGCGATTGGGTTTTTCTACCCTATATTGTGGTACATATCATGGTGGAATTATATTATGGTGTGCTAGGACGTATCTTCGTACACGCCACTGCGAGTAAAACAATCAAATAAACAATTAATAAAAATGTGTCTTTTCTTCTTCCTCACATCTCTGGCATGTTGGATACTCTACTATACCCATTGTCGAGAGGTGCCTGCTGAGTATGCAGTGACCGGTCGGGACTCCAATTTGGAGTTTGACTCTTTGTCGCTGTTGGCTCAGCAGCCACTTCGTTCTCTATTTGTGAGGGGTTGTTATCAAGTCTTCTGCTTGCCTGCACCCTACACAGTCCCTCCAGCTCTCTTTGACTTTTTTCCACATCCACTCGTTCAGTACGGATGAAACTTGGCTTCTTGTGATGCCTAATGCAGGTTCCGGGCCATGAAATGGTGTCTCGGCACCGAGCATGGCGAGTTCGTCGCCTTGAATACCCCTATGTCCCGTGACCCAACATCACTGTTACCTCCTTATTTCTTGCAAGTTCTACAAGGGCATCTCCGCACTCCTGCACTAGAGCTTATCTAGTTCTGGGGGAGCATACTGCCTTAAGTGCTGCCTGACTATCGGAACATATATAAATTCTCTGTTCCGGTCCCTCTAACGCTTATTTCAGCGTTGCTACCTCCTGGATAGCGAATACTTGTGCCTGAAATACCCAAGGATACTTCTCGAGAGAAATATAATTGAATGCCGTATCTTTTCAATGTCGTCCTGTATAACATTTCTAATGGTGCCAATGGATTGTTCGCATTATACTATATAAATGAACTTCCGAAAATGCCCAATATTCCTCACCTTAAAGCACTCACAAAATAAAAACGAAATCGATTATTTTTCAATTTCCCCCTGTATCTCTGAAACGAATGGAGATATCAAAATTCCGAATGCGCCATTTTGGGTTTCTTCAAAATCGAACCCGTAACATGTATATCGGTTTTTCGATAACTCCTTTAGTTATTGAGATAGCTCGTGAAAACGCCCAATTTTGCCCACCCTGTACTTTCCTTGTGCCAGAGATTATACACACCAGCCAAGACTACTATGTCGTCTCCTTATCCAAGGGCTCTATGTCTACTGTGATTGAGTAACCTATCAGTAGCCCGTCCATAACCGGAAAGGAACCAGAAACAGTTTCACATATACTGTGCAGAAGCAAGGAATTGGACAGCAAAAGACAGACGAGTTTTGGGCAACTAGTCGGCGAACCAGAAGTATTTAACTCACATCCAGTGAAGGTTTTGTGAATAATTGTTAAAGGTACAGAGATAATGGAGTGGGCACAATGAAAACTACTAAATAATAGGTAAGGTACAATGGGCCACTAGGTTTGAGTGTCGTCGGTCAGACGAGCTGGCAAGCGGGGTGGATTGTTTATAGTGGGTATCCCCTGGAAAGATCCAGGGGACTCCCACACTATCATGTGATGTCCATAAAGGATTTCAACCACCTCGACAAACTATGTTTTTCTATATTTTTATCCAGATAATTCAATTCATGTATGATTAAGAATCCCGTAGGCCGCTCTGTGATTTTATCATTATGACAGCGATAAAACTGTAGCCATCTTAACTTTGCCCTAAGTTTTCCTGACGAAGCGGAATCTAACATTTGAAACCATGACTACCAGAATCGATGTGAACGATTCTTCATGGCGTTTTTGTAAATACTTCCTAATCTTGCGTTGTCAGAAAAGTATACAGGGTGTTTCGAAATTCGACCGACAACGCTTCACAGGAGGTAGCTCTCGTGATTTGGTGAATAATGAGGTAGGAACATAAGGGTCCCACGTGATTAGTTATCGAGTTACAGGGTGTTGAAGTTGGGAAATAAAAATAATTTATTCGCAATAACTCAAAAACGGCTGATCTTTTTTCATTCAAACTCGAAAAGTGAATCAATATTGAGGAACTTCAATTCCAGACAAAAAATTCATAATCAACAATTCATCCAGTGGCGCCGTTAAGGGATATGATTCATTGATTTTGCAAAAAAAAATGTGTTGTGATATGAATTTTCGAAATTTCATGTGGTATTATTGAAGGCCATTTGATTTTGATTGAAAAAGGCTCACTTGATTGAACTCGATAAAACCCACCATTTCCGAGAAAAAACGAAAAATGTGATTAGTCTTCAAATTTTTTTACTCAAAATCGTTCAACATGAAATAACAAAAATATCAACCCAAAATTATAGTAACTGTTCGAAGTTCTGGCCATTGACTTGTTGACACATTGTGCAACGTCTTCTCATCGCAAAACGCGTATTTGAAAATATCTCACGGTTAGTATTTATGATTTCCGTTGCAGCCTGTATTCTTGCAATAAGTTCCTCCTCAGTTTCTACAATGGTGTCGTACACTAAGGATTTCACATGACCCCAAAGAAAAAAATCGATCGGATTCAGATCTGGTGACCTAGGGGGCCATACGTGAGGACCACCACGTCCAATCCATTGGTCACCAAATCTTTCACTGAGTAAAGCTCTTGCACTTCTGTCAAAATGTGCAGGCGCACCATCATGTTGGAACCACATGTTCCTTCTGATGACCAGCGGCACATTTTCCAACAATTCTGGAAGAACTTCTTGTAGGAAACGTCTGTAAATTGATCCATTTAATTTATTGGGTAAAATATATGGACCAATCAGACAATTTCCGACAATACCGGCCCATAAATTGATGGAAAATTTGGTCTGGAACCCACGTTGACGAATTTCGTGTGGATTCACGTCATTCCATACGTGACTGTTCCTTGTATTGAAAATTCCTTCTCTGGTGAATTTCGCTTCGTCAGTGTATAGAACATACTCAGGGAAATTTACGTCTTCACGACACATTTCGTTGAACCAATTGCAAAATTCCACTCTCGTGGGATAGTCTCTCGGTTCCAATGCTTGTACTCTGGTGAGTTTATATGGCTATGTAGCATTTGTTCTCGCAGTACTCTCCACACAATGGAATTGCTCACATTCAATGCTCGACCTATGGTTCTGGTACTCAACGATGGCCTCTCCGAAACCTCGTTCAATATTTCTTCCTCTAATCTAACTGTTCTTGTGGTTCTACGCCTTCCTGCATTATTTCTTCGGACACTTAATCTGCCTGTTTCACGAATTCTCCTTTCTATTGTTTTAGATGTATGACAAACTGACATTTATCATACAGGGCGTGGAAAGAAATTCTGAATTGAGAAAAACCCAATCACGAATCTGCGATTGAAGGTCTATAAAAATAACAAGTTTCCATCGTTCAAGTTTGAACCCCTTGATTGGGTATGAAAATATTGAAAAGGAATATTCTCAGATATATTATAAACATGAAAAAATGGATACATTTGAATAAATACATTGAGAATTCGCATTCTCTATGTGATGAAATTATTAATCCTTTCTCGGCATATTCAACAGAAAACAACTACTTTCCTGGCTATATGCCACGACGAACATTGAATTATATCAATTGAACATACACGATAAGAATTTGAGCATAAAATGAATATCGTCTGAAATTGAGAATTGACATTCTCTTCCAGAATCGGATGAATACTATGATGAATATAACGATATAAAAAATATATTACTTACCAAATTGGTATGAAAATTGGAATGTATGGGAGAAATATACTAGTATACATACTCTGTTCTTGTTGAGTCGTGAATTTATCAAAAATCATCCGTATCCATGATGTTTGGGATATATGCACATCTCTTTCACATAGGTTAGATGATTTTGATTCGAATAAAATTCATTTCGAGTTTCAAACTCTCCTCAGTAACCTGAAGTCCAGTCATTCCTTCAGCCATTCTTCATTTAATACACAATTTTCACATTTCTATAATAATATAACTAAAACTATAGTGGAACTGACATCTATCTGAGAATGAAAATTTGTTGACTTATCTCCAGTCATGTGGGTGGCAATTGTTTTAGATGTATGACAAACTGACATTTATCATACAGGGCGTGGAAAGAAATTCTGAATTGAGAAAAACCCAATCACGAATCTGCGATTGAAGGTCTATAAAAATAACAAGTTTCCATCGTTCAAGTTTGAACCCCTTGATTGGGTATGAAAGTATTGAAAAGGAATATTCTCAGATATATTATAAACATGAAAAAATGGATACATTTGAATAAATACATTGAGAATTCGCATTCTCTATGTGATGAAATTATTAATCCTTTCTCGGCATATTCAACAGAAAACAACTACTTTCCTGGCTATATGCCACGACGAACATTGAATTATATCAATTGAACATACACGATAAGAATTTGAGCATAAAATGAATATCGTCTGAAATTGAGAATTGACATTCTCTTCCAGAATCGGATGAATACTATGATGAATATAACGATATAAAAAATATATTACTTACCAAATTGGTATGAAAATTGGAATGTATGGGAGAAATATACTAGTATACATACTCTGTTCTTGTTGAGTCGTGAATTTATCAAAAATCATCCGTATCCATGATGTTTGGGATATATGCACATCTCTTTCACATAGGTTAGATGATTTTGATTCGAATAAAATTCATTTCGAGTTTCAAACTCTCCTCAGTAACCTGAAGTCCAGTCATTCCTTCAGCCATTCTTCATTTAATACACAATTTTCACATTTCTATAATAATATAACTAAAACTATAGTGGAACTGACATCTATCTGAGAATGAAAATTTGTTGACTTATCTCCAGTCATGTGGGTGGCAATTGTTTTAGATGTATGACAAACTGACATTTATCATACAGGGCGTGGAAAGAAATTCTGAATTGAGAAAAACCCAAT